AGTCGAGACAGCATGTAATTTGCAAGGAAACGGGCCAGAAAAATAGGGTGCTGGAGGAGCATGAAAGGCAGCCTCCAAACCGACATTCTGGGCACTTACAGTCGGTAGTTGTTGATGGCCAGGAAGGGGAAATTTTAGGCCTTGATGAGGGGCCGTTCATTGAGGTTGTAAGAAACAAAAATAGGGCTGGAACGGGTCAAAATTCTATGCATGCTAGGCAGTCTAAATCAGTGGCAAATTCATCAAACCAAAAAGAGGTAGTTTCAAGTAACTCTAGAAATGATAAGGCCAAAGGTAAGGTTGAAGAACCAAGGAAATCCGGTGTAAAATTGACAAGAAGAAGGGTACATCCCTTGCTTCAAAATCATGAAGATTGCTTCTTGAAATATTAGGGGTATCAATCCATCCCTAAAACAAAATGGGATTCGGAAATTTATCAAGCAACATTGCATTGATATAATGGGTATTTTGGAGACAAAGTTGGTTGATCAAAAATTGAAGATAATTTTGCGGAATAAATTTGATGGCTTCATGCATATAAACAAGTTTTGCACTCATAGAAACGGACGGATCTTGATTTTGTGGACCATCCAAAGTGTTTTTGGATGTGATGAAAGTTCATCCACAAATCATTCGTTGTAAAGTTACTTGCAAGGTAATATCTTATACCTTTCTTGTTAGTTTTTGTTTATGGATTTCATACTTTGGTTAATCGGCGACCACTTTGGAATAACATTATGAAATTCAATGCTAAAATTTCGTTGCCTTGGATGATTCTTGGTTACTACAATAATGTTCTCAAAATTGATGAGAAATGTAATGGAGCGGACGTTACTCCTTATGAAATAAAGGATTTTGCTAATTATTGCCTTCATGTGGGTCTTGTGAATGTGCGCTCCATTGGTTATTATTACACGTGGACTAATAACTTGGTTTGGAGTAAAATTGATAGGGTAATGGTCAATGATATTTGGGTGCAAAATGGGGCATATGTTGATGCAAATTTTCTACCTTCTAGGTGCCTTTCCAACCACTCCCCTTGCATTGTTTCCGTTCATGACCGTGTTGGGGGCGCTAAAAAACCTTTCAAAATTTTCAACATGTGGACTATGCATGAGGACTTTTATAATATTGTTCAAACTTGTTGGAACTTTAATGTGCGAGTGACAAAGCAATTTATCCTTTGCAAGAAGTTAAACAAACTAAAGGAAGCTTTGAGGGAGCTAAATATTAAGCATTTTGGGCACATTTTGACTAGGGCAAATGAGGCTAAAAATGAATTGAAGGCTGCCCGATTACAACTACATAATTAGCCCATGAATGAAAATCTTCAACTTATGGTTGCTAAATTGAGGAAGAAAGCCGTTGGTTTATGTGAAGCGGAACGTAGTTTTTATTATCAAAAGACAAAATGCATATTCCTTAAGCCAAGTAATAAATGTATAAAGTCCTTTCACTCGGTGGTTAAAAGGAACTCAAGGAGGAATTTTATAGCTACTATACTCAAAGAGGATGGGATGTATACTACATCACAAGATCAAGTTGCCACGAAATTTGTAAAATTTTACACTACTTTGCTAGGAAAAAACTGCCCAACTCGGCCTATTGAGATGGAAATTGTTAAAAACGGTCCCTTGTTTTCATTGGAACAAGGTAACTCTTTGATTCGGAACATTTCTTATGAGGAGATCAAAGAAACACTTTTTGATACTGGAGATGATAAGTCTCCCAGGTCGGATGGTTATACTTCTTGTTTTTTCAAGAATGCATAGGGGACTATTGGTGATGAGTTTGTTGGAACTACCATGGAGTTCTTCTCTTTGGGTTCCATCCTCAAACAAATCAATCACACGATCATTGCTTTGGTGCCTAAATCTGGTCACACACCGTATGTTGGGGATTTTAGGCCTATCGCTTGTTGTAATATTACTTACAAAGTGATTGCAAAAATTATTGCTTCTAGACTGAGACCTATTTTAGGTAATATTGTGGACCATGCACAAACCCCTTTTGTGGAATGTAGGAGTATGACGGAGAACATTCATCTTGCCCAAGAACTCATGAGGCAATACAATAGGAAAATGGTTGCTCTAAGATGCCTCCTAAAAATTGATCCTACGAAAGCTTATGATTCGGTAAGTTGGGATTTCCTTAGAGATATTCTTGAAAGGTTGCACTTCCACTCGAGATTTGTAAGTTGGATCATGAAATGTGTTACTTCTCCAACATATTCCATTGCTTTAAATGCGAGTATGCATGGGTTCTTCAAAAGAAGGAAAGGCCTCCGACAAGGTGATCCCATCTCCCCCTTTTTGTTCATACTTTGTATTGAATACTTCTCAAGAATGCTTAAAACTACCACGAATGATTGTGATTTCAATTATCACCCTAAATGTGGCCCCCTAAAGATCATCCATTTAGCTTTTTTTTTTTTTTTATTTTGATGCTCTTTGCTAGGGAAAATGTCATGTCGGTGAAAATTCTCATTGATTGCCTCTCAAATTTTGGTATGGTATCGGGTTTAAGGTTGAACATCCCCAAATCCAGTTTATATACGGCGGGGATTCATGGAGAACTACTTGAGGATATCTTGCAACTCACAAATGTCCCGAGGGGTAGTATGCCATTTTAGTATTTGGGCCTTCCACTTGCTTCGGAAAAACTAAAAGTAAGTTGTCATGCTCCCTTTCTTGACAAAATTACAACTTATATTGGTGTATGAAATTGCTCTTCATTAGCTTATGCGGGCAAGGTGGAACTTATAAGGGTGGTTCTTCAAGGAGTTGAATGTTTTTGGCTTTCTATCTTCCCTCTCTCGACTACAATTATATCAAGGATTGTTAGTCATTCTCGAAAATTCCTTTGGAGATCTAAGAAGCCTTTGGTTGTGTGAAAGGATCTTTGCTTCCAAAAGATGAAGGGGGCCTCGGCTTGAAGAACTTGAAGAGTTAGAATTTAGCATTATTTGCTAAATCCCTTTGGAATATACAATATAAAAAGAACACACTATGGATTTGTTGGGTTCACCAAGTGTATCTTAAAGGGGCTTGCATTTAAGAGGTTTGCCCTAGAAAATATCACTTTCCACTCTTTAAAAAATTGCTGGAAATCAGAAATCTACTACTTCAAAAGCTTGCTAATCCCCAGTTTCTTGCACAGGACAGGAGACGATTTCAGCTAAATCTGGACAGTTTCTTGAGTTAGACGAATGCTCAAAACTGGGTGCCGAATCTGGGAGAAAACACGGACCGAAGACATGAAATTCTAGATAGTTTTATGGGGTTGCCGACTGCTTAAAATGGGGACCGAAATCTAGGATTTCTGGACAGTTTTTCAGGGGGAAAGAGGCCCTAAATTCAGCACAAAAAGGGCATATGATTTCTTTAGGTTGAGGGGTACGAAGAAAACTTGGGGGCAGCCGACGTTTAGAAACCTTGCATTACTCTGAAACCCTTCTTTTTGCTTTGGTTAAGGACTCAATCAAAACTCCTAACTAAAGACAAATTGCATTTTTTGGATATTGACCACAAGTGTGATTTTTGTGGGCATATGGAGGACAGTTCCTCACTTATTATTTGAATGTTCTTTCACCTCCACAATATGGGAGAATATTAGACAATGGCTCGGAATCAAAAGATCTATGTCTACACTTGCTAGCGCTCTTAAGTAGTTGAAAAAAGAGGTCCGAGGTACTTCAAGGCTTAGCAAGGCTAAGCGGATTGCACTTGCAAGCACTGTCTACTACATTTGGTTAACACATAATAAAAAGATTTTTAAAGACCTTTTACCTAATTTACATTGTTTTGTAAGATAGATCAAGACACACGTATACAAAGTTATGTTCTCTTTGTATTCGAATGTCTTGATCCATTTTGAGTCTTTAGTGTCAGGTCATTGATTCTTATTACACTCCATTTATTTTGTTTTACTCGGGTATGCCCGGAATAATTGTATGTGATATTGGCTTTTGATTCGCTCGAAAATGTCCGATGTATTTGTATATGTAACATTTTTAATATTTATATTTATCAATAAAAAAACAAAAAGAATATCAGAAAGAAAAGTTATTTTAGAAAATTCATTAAACATAGTTAGAGCACGATTGGCTTAACTCATTGCTAAAAGTCTAAATTTTCAATTTCCGTCAACCCTATAAGTAATTACATTAACGACAAAATTGTTGTTCTTACTTAAGGACGGAGTGACGTGATAATCATTAATAATATTATCGTCAATGATTTAATCTAACAGTAGATTTCGGATATGTTAAAATATTTATGGTCCGTTTGATTGCAAAGATTGAATTGAAAACGAATTTCAGGGAATTGAATTGTCAAGAAATTATTTTTTTTAGAATTGTAAATTATTGTGTTTGATTGGAATAATTTTTCATGTGAAAAATGTTGAAATAAGAGTGTTTTTTTATCTCTGTTTGACTTTGTTTTACATGAAAATTATCAATTTAAGGGATAGATTTTACTAATATTGGGAATGAAATTTGTTTTCATTGCCAACACACAGAAAAAAACAAAATTTCAAAAAAATCATCTATCTTTTGGTGTTCGTTTGACTTTGTTTTACATTAAAATTGCCATTTAAAGGGAAATATTTTTTACAATAATTTTTATAATTTGTTTCCATTGCCCAAAAAAAAATCGAAAAAAAGTGCTACAGTAATCACGAATTCCAATTCTCACAATTTTCAAGGAAAATATGGAAATTAGCTTAGGTGGCATAAAATGTGGAATTCGAATTTTAGGGAAAATTTTGTCAATCAAACAATAAAAAATTAGAAAGATGGAATTTGATTTCCATTTTCTATGGAATTGGGGTGCAATCAAACATACACTTACACTAATTCCATCTCAAAATCGTTTGAGTTGCCATTTGTATATCATTAATTTTTATTTATTTATTATTATTATTATTATTTTGTTCAATAGGACATCCCCCACAAACAAGGCCTTAGTAAAACACGACGTACCTTCGCACGTTTGTACTAACATAAGAGTATGCTCAGAAAGCCTAAGCTAATGAGATTTTGTTCGTGTTTGGCTAGGATCTTGTCTCCAATTTAGACAGAATTAGAAAAAATAAACATACAAGCCATCGGCCGCGAACACTTTGGGTGAGGAAGAAAAACACTCAATCTCAATTTCCTCAGAACCAGGTCGATTTCTCTTTCTTTCTTGCTCTAATTTCATTATAATTTAATTTAATCTGGTTTTTTTTAATTCCTGTAGAAATCTCAACTGGGTTCTGATTATTTATCTGAATACTTAATTTTATAGTTCCAAACTTCTCTCTCTACTCTTGCCGAATTGGATTTTGAGGGTTTTATTTGTCATTCTTGTTTCAAATTTGTGTCGATTGATTTCTAGAGTTGAAATGAACTTGATGGTAATGTTATTATACTGCATTTTTTTTTGACGAATTAATAATGCAAAAATTAAAGTTTTTATTGGTTAAAATTGAGGCTTGTTAAAGACAAAAATTAGATTTCGTTAATTTTTCACTTGCAAATGATGTTTTGAAATATATCTGAGCTTATTCGTATCTGACTTATGTTCCTTTCTATCTGCGAAATGAATGATAAATTATGATTGTTGTTGATTTTCATTGATATAATTATCTGAGCACAATTTTGTGCATCTGAGATTTTTTGAAATTTGATGTTTTTATTTGTTTTTCGATGGAGTATTGATTGAGATCTGGCATTTTGGATGTTAATCAGGTTAATTAAAATGGTGGCAAAACATCATTTTACACGAGTGGACACGATGGAGCTGAAAAATCTTATTTATCAGAAGATTGGGCATGCGAGAGCAGAAAAGTACTTTGATCAGCTGAAAAGATTTTTCAGTTTACAGCTTAGCAAGGTCGAATTCGATCAGAGTTGCATAAAAACAATTGGAAGAGAGAATCTCTCTCTTCATAACCGGCTTATTCAATCCATTCTCCAGAACGCTTGTCAGGCTAAAGTTCCCCCACCAAAAGCTAGGAAACCTAAAGCACCTCTTGGGGTTAAAGTTGCGAATGGTTACCAAAGAAATTGTATGCAATCTCTCTATGGCGATGCATTTCCCCTGTCTCCTCGCAGGCATAGATCTCCTGTCAACAGGGATCGTAAGTTTCGGGATCGCCCAAGTCCACTTGGACCGCTAGGAAAGAGCCCTAGCACCACATTTGAAGAAACTAGTCCAAGAATACACGAACAACAAAGTGGAGCAGAACTGAATTGTCTCAGTAGCAGACCACCTATTGAAGTTGCTCCTGTTGAAGAAGGGGAAGAGGTTGAACAATTTGCTGGAAACTTAGGCATTCGGAGGCGAAGCCCTATTACCGCTCCGTTTGGTGTTTCAATAAACATGGGTTGCTCTCGTAAAGCTCTTCAACGCAGTTTCGTGTTTAACACTTGTCAAAATGGTGGCGAGTTACCTGATACGAAAATGTTGAGGAGTTGTTTGGAGAAAAAGTTGGAGTTGGAGGGGGTTGGAATTTCATCGGATTGCGCTAACCTGTTAAATAATAGTTTGGATGCGTATTTGAAGAGGTTAATTGAACCTTGTATGGAGATTGCAAGATTGCCAGGTAATCATATGCACGAGGGAGAGTTAAACGGTCAAATAAGTGCCAGAGGGAACGGGGCATTACTTGGAAGTTATGCACAAAGACCAAGCCACTCGACATTTGTAAGTATGTCTGATTTTCGTGTTGCTATGGAGTTGAAACCTCATATTCTTGGGGAAAATTGGCCAGTAAAACTTGAGAAGATCTGCGCTCGTGCCTTTGAGTAAACAGAATTGATAACGAGCAACTCACTATTGGACAGGTTGCTAAAGGCAGCTCCTGAAATGCTCTTTTGATGCATATTGATTCTTTGTTGTATATTGATCACCAATTATAAGTGGTACCCTGAAGCATCACAAAAGAAGACGCAATTTGTTACTTAAATTTTGAGTTTCTTAGGCTGGTTGCAGTTAAATGTTATTAATGCTAGTTGCTAGGAAGGGAGTTATGTTTATACGACCATTTTAGTCATTTGATAGTACTTAACGCTCCGTAATCTCTAGATCTTGAACATCATTCTTCAAGTTACATGTTATGTAACAATCAGTTTCTGAATGAAATAAAGCCTTCTTATTTTCAATACTCAACATCGCTTCATGTTCATTATGTTTCACATATAATACCTGTTCATCTATCCTCGCCCCCTCCCCTCTTCCTCGAGGAGCGCCTTGGATGCCACGAACTGATGATCAATGTGCAGAGCGGCAAATTGTACTGTTTGCTGCAGCTTATAATTTCTTGATTTACCGTTTTGAAAATGGACTAAATAAAGATTTTATGTAGGCTGATGACTTATTTATTCTATCTTTTGTGCAGGTTTGATGCTATCAAACATTTAAATTTGGTTTTGAGCTAGGGAAGTGCACTCTTCCTTGCTGCAAACTTTCATAGAAAGCCTTGTGTATTAAACATCAGAAGTGTAAACATTGTCCTGTTAGAGTCTAAACAATTAACAATCACGTTACAGTGTCATAATCATTGACATAATGCCACATGACATCCTATCATTGGACTGTTTAAAATACTGTTAGTTATTTTTCATCAAATCATCTACTTTCACATAGGATTATGTGACTGTATGTGGTAAAATTCATCAGGCAAAGTGGCAAAAATCCGACAATTAAACATTCGACCCGTACCATATGACCAATTGCAAAGCTCACTTAAGAGGGAGATATAAAGCCTTTGAACACGAGAGAGAAGTATTCACAAAAAGGTAAAACATTAAGACCTCAAAAGCGGGTGAATGTATTCACGTACCAGCCAACCCAGAGGGAGGAGGATGTCGATATGGAGCTTTGAAAAATAAACAAAATACAACAAAATGATGAGAACTAACGAGGGTTACAAATAACCAGCCACCTGATGTAACACATGTAGCCTTCACCTAGTAGTTTCTGCAAAGAACTTAAAAGATTGCAAATTAATCTTCTTGTTGAAAGGATACTAGCCAATAATTCTGCAGCCCGTGGCTTCTGCTTCTTGCATTACTAAGAGATCCCATGTAATTGCCCACGTGGAACAATAAGGTGGGAGAATTCATAGGGGAAGATGGTGAGAAGATGCATTCAGACCGTGCTAACTTTCTCTAAACTGGCCATATATGTCATGTATACTGTCCACAGATATGAAAATCCGTTGCTCACTAGTGGCTGCAATAACAAAAGCACAAACATCTTTAAATTTATCTCCTCTACTGAGCATGAAATAAAATGTAATTATTTTCAAGTTAACAGTTCTGCAATTGCCTATCAGAAGCATTATCAGACTATGGAGTGAATGATTTGATCGATGAATATTCGATTTTTTCTCCAATGTGAAATCAATCCTTCCATTTTTTGTATAAAAAAATACAGATTTTCCAATTTTCATTCCCAGGAAATCATAAATTGAGAATCAATTCAACAGTCATCTTATCAGACATATGATCTCACCTGTAAATTAACAGGGATGAATTTAAATGTCACAAAATCACACCCAGGCCAGTACATAATACCACTAAGTATGGTAGGAACCAAATCTCGCTTCAATCGAGCAACAATCTCAGAACCAGTTTCACCTGAGTATGGCAGCAAAGAGTTAACATCAGTTAAAAACAAGTCTCGCCATACAAAACAAATCATCTATTCCACAAACATTGAAACTGTGCCCAAGCTCTTTCTATATAAATAAATCTCTTGTATCACAATAAAATTTTAGCAACATGGTTTGCATACATATAAAATACTGCACCTATACCTGCAATTATTAACCAAATATTGGACATCATGGAAAGCAATTAAATGTCATGTAAAAATGAAATTCAGACAAACAGATGAAAGCATTTACCTATTGTTCAGCCTCCAAAAACAATACAAGGAGCATCAAAAGGTCAATCAGTATTTGAAATTGAATTTTTATTTTATATTTTGCGAAGTCGTGTTGCGTTCGGAAACTGAATTTTGTAAATATAAGCTTCTTGTTTCCGTTACTTAACTAAGAACTTACATGTCTCTTTGCTTTCCCACGTCTCGTGTTTTCCACTTTTATTTTGTGAGATTATGAGGTTTATATTGCCATTCACATCTCAATTTATTTTGTTCTTTCTACTCATACAACATGCTGCCATAAGTCTCTATGAGATAACTTCATAAATGTTAATGGGCTGCTGCTGACCTAATATGATCTGCGAGTCATCAAAACTTAAGGCATAGGAAAAATTAGGTTCCAAAAACGAGGAAAAAAAGTTTTTAATCCATATTAATAAACTATTGCTTAGGGCTCAAAGCACAGCTAGGGCATTTATTGCAGCCCATGCTACTGTGCTTTATTTTTGGTACCAACAGTTGAGAATTGTTTTCCGCTACTAGCTGCATCAATAACCAAATCACAGGTACGCCCAAAGAAAGTGGACTGTTTGAGAGCGAAAGGAAAAGGAAAATGAAAAAGAAAAAAGGAAGTAAGTTATAAAACCTTTTTCTCCCCTATGTAGTTGAACCAACGATTCAAGCATGTCACCATGCATTTTCATGCCAGGTAAGCATTGCATATGTACACATAATTTATACTTGCGCATCAATGTATAAATGAGGTTATACATACACATTTACCCTTAAGCCTCAAGAATTACATGCACTACACGAAGCAAATATAGCTTAAAATGTTGGTGTAAAATATCTCTATCGTCTTTCATCCGCATAAAGGGAATTAGATAAGCCTCTAGAAAAAATTTATATTTAACTCACTTCCCCCCCCCCCCCCT